TTTAGTTTCCGGGGTTCATGCGGGCGGTCCAACTCGGGGCTTCGGTGGAACACCCTATGGGGCCACGAAACGGTGTACTGGGTGGATGAAAATGCCAAGTTGGGTTTTCGGGACGCACGCGGGCAGTCCCACTGGGGGCTTCGATGGAGCTCCCTATGGGGCCACGAAACCCTGCACTAGGCGGGCGAAACGCAGCGAGGAGGGGGAGGACGGGGAGAAAGGAAAGCTGGAGGAACGCGGGGACCGTCCTTCAAAACGACGACCCCACACCACAAGATGCTTGGACCAAAAATGAACCTGGCGAAGGACCCAACCACATGCTGTTGTGAATGCCGCCGCTATGAATATCGCCCGCGCTCCCTATGGGGCCACGAACCGTGCGAGGGGCGTGCCGACATGCGTGGCGGGGCACACAACGCGAGCGAAGACGATAGCTCTGCGTGCGAGAGACTGAGGACGAGTGAGTCTGATTGTGGATGCGTCTGCGCGCGTGAGTCTACGTGCACAAATGTCGACGCCCATGTCAGCACGCCTCTCACGAGGATCGCACCCGTTTCCTTCCCGTTGTTCTTCCCCCTCTTTGCCCGTGCACGCCCACGTCCAAGGCCGCGGGCGCGGCGCCGCACGGAGTCCCAACGACGCGCGCTGGTCGCCCCGAAGGGGTCCCCGCGATGCGCGCGGGTCGTCCGCTACGCGGAGCAGAGAGAGCGAGCAGGCTGGCTCCCGCCCAGGATGCGCGGCCCGAAAGCGGCCTCAACACGTCGAATACGACGAAAATCTTCCAAGAATCGAAAGTCGCCGCCATGCGAACTCCGCCACCGGGCCGCCATGCGAGTTCCGCCATGGAGACCTTAGGTGGGGCCCCCGGTGGGGACACGAAACGCCGTACTGGGTGGTGGATGACGCATGCGGGCGGTCCCACTGGGGCCTTCGGTGGAGCCTATGGGGCCACGAAACGCTGTACTGGGTGGTGGATGACGCATGCGGGCGGTCACACCGGGGCTTCGCCAGGATAATTTGGACACTCGGTTTTTTCCGAAACCGAAGGTTTTTGAAAATTTCGGCATGCGCGCGCGACGACACGCACGCGCGCGTGCTTTTCGTCCTTTTCTGTTGCAAAGGATTTCTGAAAAGAGCCACGAAACGCTGTACTGGGTGTGTGGGACGCACGCGGGCGGCCCCCCTGGGAGCTTCGGTGGAGTTCCATACGGGGCCGCGAAACATGCGAGGGGTGTGATCAAACGGGCGATGATGATGATGGTGATGGAGGAGGAGGAGGAGGAGGAGAAGGAGGAGAACGCGGGGACCGTTATTTCAAAACGAGGAGCCGACACCACAGGATGGCTGGGGAAAGGAAAAAATTACCCTGGCGACGTACCCAAGCCCTGCGCAATGCGGGGCAGGAGTAGCTTGGGAGATTTGACGAGAAGGCGGCGACGTGACATGGACGCATATACTTCTGCGCGCGGCATTCGGAAGGTTCGCAGGTCCCCAAACAAGGGAAAAACGATGAGTAACCAAGTGAACCCCTGAGCCACGAAGGAAGACGCAAGATCCAAAAGGAGACGGTGGACAAGGGGCTTGAAACGTCGGCGGGGCAGCAACAACATGACATGGCCCCCCAGGGACGGCGAGGTCCCGCTCAGGAGCCACCAGCAGCCCTCGAAAGTGGAGACAATTTCGCAGATCGCAGCCCCCCAGGGACGCGGAGGTTTCGTTCAGATCCGCGCGGTGCCTCCCTCCACCAGACCCACCATCAGCCCTCGAAAATGGCGACAATTTCGCAGATCGCAGCCCCCCAGGGACGGGGAGGTCTCGCTCAGATCCGCGCAGTGCCTCACTCCGCTGTACCCACCAGCAGCCCTCGAAAATGGCGACAATTTCGCAGATCGCAGCCCCATGGACGGGGAAGTCTCGTTCAGATCCGCGCGGTGCCTCACTCCGCTGGATCCAATCAACAACAGCCCTCGAAAGTGGCGACAATTTCGCAGATCGCAGCCCCCCAAGGACGGGGAAGTCTCGTTCAGATCCGCGCGGTGCCTCACTCCGCTGGACCCACCAGCAGCCCTCGAAAGTGGCGACAATTTCGCAGATCGCAGCCCCCCAAGGACGGGGAGATCTCGCTCAGACCCGCGCGGTGCCTCACTCCGATGGACCCACAAGCAACCCTCGAATGTGGCCACAATTTCGCGAATCGCAGCCCCCCAAGCAAGGCAAGAGGAGACAGGGAGGAGTGGGGGCGGGAGGCGGGAGGCGGGAGGGGGGGCAGGAGGACGCGACCGCAGCGCTCCATTCAAAACGAATACCCAACCAAGGAGTGTTGGGAAAAGGCGGCATGCGCACATACGACCAAAACATACGCATAAATGCATATACATGCATAAATCCGTCACCGGCCTCCCTGGCACGCCGGGACGCGGTAGAATGCCAACTGCTCTCTGGTAGGACTTCCGCACTCTTCTGCGCCCCCCCTCCTCGCTCACGCCCCCCCCCCTCACCCCCGGCGCGCCTCGCCGCGCGCACTGGCCCTCCTCCCATGGGTCCC